TGTATGAAGAAAAAAATCAAGCTGGTGGTAGGGTTCTAATGTTATAACTTCCTTTTGCCCTGGAGACTACAGTTCCATGAGGGTGCTAAGAACCTCTTATGCAGATTTCACAGCTCTTCCATCAAGCCACGATTCATCCGGTCCTTGGGGAACACACATTATGTTTGGAATGCAGCTATGCCAGGCTACTTATTGCTCTAAACCCTTTGCCAGATAAAGTCTCCCATGCAAGTTTTGCATATGTCAAATTGGAATATGTGAGGTCCTACTCGGTAAGAACAAAATCGGAGGCCAGCCAGCCAACCAAAAAGCAATGATCTTGCAAGATGCAACTTGCAAGGTGTATGATTTTAAAGGAGGCCAGCAAAAATGCAGATAACCACACTGTGCAGCTAGCATATTCAAGCACCTGAATAAAACTATCTCTCCTTTAATGTCTTTCATTTGTATGCCTCCTCCACAATTCTTTCTTTAACCTAATTGTTGTCATCTGGAGGCGGAGTGCCTGCAGATCACAGGAGTAAAAATGCTCGTTGCATGGTTTGTGGATCACAAATACTACAATCCTCTCTGGACTGGAGGCTTATACCTAGACTCTCTAGTTTCTAGGGTTTGTTTGGTATGGTTATAATTAGACCTTGTTTATAACTTTGAAAATAAATTGTGCTGGAGGGGTCCCAAAGGACCAAGGGACTCTTTACAATCCTGGTTTAATCTGATGATTCTGGCATCCGGCATAGGGGAACACTTGGTACCCCAGCCTCCTTTATGAGGGTGGAGTGTGTGTGTGTGTGTGTGTGTGTGTGTGTGTGTGTGTGTGTGTGTGTGATCATGGGGGAGCTTGCAGCTTGTATGAAGCCCTACTCCTTGCTGGTTTTTTTAAATATCAGTCTCATGGCCCCAGGTAAGGAAGAATTCTGCAAGTCAGTAATTCCTTCACCTTCTCCTGACCGCTATTTAAATGGATGCAAAACCTCTGTAGCTGACATGTAATTGACATGGTGCCAGCTGACGGGATGGGTCTATCTCATACAATAAATAATCCAGCCACGTCTTTTGCAATTGGCAGGATTGCATCTGACATGGAGGACAATCAACAGATAGAATTTCCATATTAAAAAGTGCCCCACATTAACTATGGTGAGAAAAGATCAAAGCAGGTTCTAGATCAATCTTCTGGGGAACTGGTATAAAATAAGATCTGTTATGGCAGACAAGGAAAGACAGCTGCTAATCATAGCCAATATTTTCCTGCCATGTTCCACCACAGGATTTGGTATGGGGCACTCAGCCTTAGTTTATGTAGGGCAACAGTGAAACCTGGCAGGCAGCTGGAACGGAATAAGCACCTTAACATATTCCCCAGAATCCCTTGCAAGCACACAAGTTCCAGGATGGAGGCTCAGGGTCTCTCAGCAGGGGAGCACATGTGAAAAGAATTTCCTGAAGGTAGGAAGTAGCCATATGAACTGTCAGATTGTCCTTCTATAGTAGACCGAATCAACCGAGGGCCCTCTTGCTTTGCTGAACTACAACTCCCAGCATTCTGGGTCAGCATTCTGGCTGGGAGTTCTGAGAACTGCGGTCCCACACATTTGGGGAAGGTTGGTTGGGAAGGTTTCTCTACAGATCACCAATTTTAACATGGATGGTTTGACAGTCAATATAAACATCAATGCAGTTGACCCCTGCAAGCAAGCAAAGGGGGCGGGGGGCGGGGGGCGGGCACAGAAATCTTCGAACAGGCAAGAAATATCATTCTGATAACACGTTCCTCCCAGCAAGGGATTGTCAAACAGTCTGAGAAGCATAAAAGCACACAAACAAATGAAAATAGTCAATGACATAAGTAAACATTAGCGATTACAAAAACAATCCACATATAAAATGGATGTATAGAGAGGGACCACCCCTGCAGCCGTGGAGACACCTGGACTTCGCAAAACCTTGTGATCATATTCTTTTGCCCAAGTCAGTGCACCTACAAGGCTGTTGTGCAGTCTTTGCAAAACTTTCTCTATATCAACTCTGTATCCTGAATTGCTTCAGGAATAGGGAATTTCAGTTCTAGCCCAGAATTGCTGTCTTGACAACCCTTTAGGATCAGATCACTTGAAGGGGAAATGTAGATTTTTTAACTCATAATTTTGATATGCAGAAAAATCCACCTTCCAAACACCTCTGAATTTTAGGAGCTTTTGGTTTGTGTCTTCAGGCCAGACTTTGCAACCAATCTTCTTTATGAACCCCCCTGTCAGGGAGGAATAATGATTGCTGTATTAGGGTGCCCAATTCTTTTTCAAAACAAAAAGTATCTTGCCTATTTTTATAAGAATTTGCTTTTCGATTTTTTTAAAAATTAGCTGGCCAAACGCCTCCCCCCCCCAAATCATAACCTTAGATAGTGATGGATTTGAATGGCACATCTGGTCCAGCACCATTCAAACCAGTGGGAGGCTGACCATTGAAATCCTTGTATTTGATAGCAATAATCACACTGATTTTAATGGAACCAGATTATACAAGCATGTCAATGTCTTCAGCTACCTATCAAGCTTAGGTCATTGATTCCCAAATGGCAAATCAATATTTCTTGCAGGGATTGCAAATGCTTTGTGGGAGGTTCAGACTCTAGGTAGAGACTAGAGGTGGATTTTTAATATAGCGCTTAAACAAATTTTACTTTCAGAGTAGAATTAACAGAATGCATGTTCTGAATGAAGGTAGAGCTCTACTATAAAAGGGGTGAGAAACCAGTAACATCACAGGATAGTGGTATGTTATTATTCATTGATAATTGGCCAATTAGCAGTCAAGATTCTGGGTTTCCCAAAGCAAGGCTTATTACTCCACTAGTGTCTATGATAAAGAGGGGTAGAGTCTGGTATTCCTGACAGTTATAGGTTTATAGTTCTTGGAGTCAAAGGGCTGGTATCCCAGAGAGAGAGAGTATATATGAGCCAGAAGGAAGAATCATAGAATCATAGAAAAGTGGAGTTGGAAGGGACCAAGAAGGCCATCTGGTCCAACCTCTTGCTGTTGAAGGACACCAGTTTAGACCATTCCACTCAGAAGTGGTGTAGGAGCTCAGCAGGTGGAGTGAAGCAACATAGGAGTTTAAGAACTGCTATGGGGAAAGATAACCAACGATCCCATAGACGATTGCATGGTTGCCTCACTTGATAAACACTGATCAACTGGAGAGTGTTGACTTTGTTGTCCCAACCCAGTGCCCATGAGAATCATACGCAGTAACAAAGTCACCCTGAAGATCTGACAAATACCTAATTATAGTATGTATGAGATTATTTTAGTATCAAACAATAATATATCATTTCATTTGCATTCACGCATTTCTTCCCACTGCTGCCACTTCGGTGATCATTTGAAAAGCATGAAACATACACAAGGGCATTGAATCAAGTTTAGCATTTAACTAGTTAAGATGCTTTTTCACACAACAGCTGTGTTTAGAGAAGATTTAGTTAGCTTAGTATCCCAACATCTTATACTTGGAGCCCATGAAATCTTTTAGAAGATTCCATGTGGGAGCAGAAACTGGAAAAAAAAGGAAGAACTTAAAAATCATCCTTTTTGTGTGTTTGTTTGTTGTTGTTCAAAAGAAACAGAATCAATTTACCTTTACACAGGTTAATGGTGCTAGAAGCATATTAGCTGTGCAAGGGGAACTAATGAACTGAACCAAAAGTTGTGAGAAATCCTCATTCTTTGGTATTGTAGCTGTTGAGGTCTCGGTTGCTCTGTTCCTTGTTCTTTTGAAAAAACTGCATAGGCACAAATTAAAGACAATCTTCAACTTTAAGATTACTGAGTTGTCAAATGAAGCAGCAATCCCGTTGGCTTTTCCATTCGTTTCCTTTCTTGTCAACCCTTTCTTTGAACTCTGCTTCCGAAAAATGTCCCATGATGTCTGGCAAAACACAGTGTGTTATCATTGGTTTGTTTCCTGACGTGCTTCCTTGTTTTGGTTTTTTTTTTAAATTATTATTCATTTCTTTTTTTTCTCCCTAAATGGAACAGTTTGTTGCAGAAGTAGGTGCAGAAAAAGTTTCTTTGGTTTCGATTAAGTAGTACATAAAAGAGTCTTAAATGTCTTTAAAGGATCATTACAGCATTTGGCTTGCTATTGAACACTCAAGCGGTGTTCCAAGGAAAGGGGCTATTCACTGGTAAATATGCACATTGTCTGACCAGAGCAATTCTGATGAGCAAGATGGTGTGACTGAGTAACAAGATGAATACTGTTCCCTAGCACGGTTAAAAGTTAGTGTTGTTACTTCACCGGAGAGCATAATCTCTTTCAGCTCGCTGGAAGGGGGAACTGAAAGAGAGCTGTACATTGATCAGCGTTGCTTTCTAACATATGCAAAATCTGATGATGAGGACGACAACACCAACAACAATGATGTTAGAAAATGACAGAGTTATAATGGTCTTTGGCTTGCAGTATCCTGCATCTTTGGTGTGTTGCATTCTTACATGAAGTGGGAGGTGGAGATGGTTGCATCCATGGAACGAATTTGAAGATCATAGTTAATGTAAGTGCCCCGGTGGTCAGTGACATCACAAAGGTGTTTGCTTTAATTTCCTGCCTGAAAACACCAGCTGACTTGACTACAGAACTGATGCGGGAAAAAGACTGGTCTGCTTGGGAAACAATGAGGAGATGAAATGAAATGCCTTGGAATTATAAAACAAGCAAACTTACTCATGATTGTTTCTTTTTTTAAAAAAAAAATCTAGAGCTTTTGAAGTGTTGCATTTGCTCTAAGTGTGGTACCATCTAGACTGGCTTCCTGAGTGTGTGTCTGTACTATGTACAAATAGAAATTGTGAAGACCTGCAAAAGTGTGCTTGAAACCAACATGTTCACTAACATCCCCTAACTCCGAGCACGTTTTGTAAGAACAGGCCAAGAGTCCAGAGCAGTTCCTGTTTTCTACTTCTATTGTCTTTGTGCTTGATAGTCTGGGTTCAAGGGAACTGAATTGTACTGATCCAAGACCAATAATATGTTCATCAACAATTGTTTCTTAAGCCAAATGTGTTACGTCAGATCATTCTGAAAACATTTAATGTAACAATGCCTGAGTTCCTAAAATAAAGCCCCAATGTTTTAAGGTCTAGTTAAAGTTTGTGCTCAGTACTTGTGTGTTTCATTATTGTGAGCTTTGGTATAATAGTACAGATAATCTAAGCATTCAGAAAACAAAATTAGGTCAGACATGTTTGGATTTCTTTTGGTGAACGATCTGCTAATCTGGGTGCAATTTGGTTGGCTGATCTTGTTGACCTCAAAATGAATGAATTTTTTAAAACTTTGATTGGCTCCGTCATGTTGGCACTGGATTAATTTGGGTCATGAATGACCTACTTTTATTTCAGACATGCCTAGTCTGTCTTTATATGTAGTTTTGACCTGCACATTAAAAAAAAAACCCTAAAAAACCTAATAGTCATTTAAATTAAATTAGATGTCCCATGCTGTAACACAGAGCTATTGTTTAAGAGGATTGTGCTTTCACATCACCAGTGAAGGGCCCCATTAAGAATCCATTCCTTTTAATATACATTAGTTGAGTTGTGCCCAATTTAGATTCTGTTCTTCGATCATGCTTTGGTACAAGTGCTGGAGGTTGAGGAGGATCCCCCAGTGCTCAAATCATCCTGCCATTTCTCGAGACTCCGCCTCCTAGCATTCATGAAGAAGTTACTGACCGTGGTAAGTTCCAAGCCCAGCTGTTGTGAGATGGTGATCTGCATTTCTTTGGATGGACGTTTGTTCTCTTTGAAGATGGCAAAAAGTGTTCTGCGTTGGAGATCAGTGAAAACCAGACGAGATTTCTTCTGGGAGTTGTTCCTATCTTTGTTGGGTTCTTGTTCTTTGCGTTTGCATGCTTGGAAAAAAGAAAAAAAGAGAGAGAGAGAAAGAGAGGGAGAGAGAAGAGGGGAAAAAGAATCAATGCATGCATAAGTACCAATCAGCAGAGCAGGTGATATGTTGAAAACATTGATGAAGCTGTAGAGTAGACGTAAACTGTTAAACTTTATTGTGCAAATTGCAGAAACGTCAATATCTAAGCTGCTCAGGCCCATCTCCTCTGACTGCCAGTGACTAATGCAGACTGCGCCTCGTCCAGAGAAACCACTTGGGTTAAAGCAGAGTGTAATTAATAGGATTGCTATTGCTGTACAGGCAAACCAGAGCCCTGCCTGGAATGGGCACAGCATGCACACACCTGGCTTACCTGGCGCCCTGCAGGGAACACAGGGGAATCTGAGGCATGCTCTCCATTTGCACAGGGTTGTCCCGCCACCTCCATCCCAATCTAAGGTAGCAAAAAGTTCCTTGAGCGAGCTCTGACAGTCAACACTACATTATATGCTTTGAGTGGCTGTGCCAGTGTCAGAGCTGGGACTACATCAGAAATACTGAGGTTAGTGAGGTGACACAAGCTCTCCTGAACTGACCTGACATGTTGATCCAGTAGGGGGGTCAGTTCAACTTTGCCAAGACATGCTATTTCTTAAGTTCCTTGCTTCCAAAGCTCCGTGTTATGACCAAAGCTCTACATTACTCAGTTTTAGATGGATTACAGCTTCCCACACCTCAGGGGGCGTTCTCAGCACTCACCTCTATATTGTTTTGAACTGAAGGTCTTCCATCATCTGACTCTCAAGATGACCCCCTGCAGCTTAGCTGTGATGTATTACTATAATGTTCCTTATTCCTTATCCTCTAAAAAGCCATCAAGGCAGCTTTTCTTGTCCCTTAGCTACGCAGGAACACCAGACTGCAGAATCACACACCGTTCCTTTAAGAGCGGCTGCTGGAATCTAGTAGGTGAGGTGCCACTGAAACACCATCCTTTGCCAGTCCTCTAAATGCCTCCATTGACTGCAGCCCTTTGCTGGGACAACAGCTCATTAGGGGAGAGTGAGCCAGCCAGCCGTTCCTGCGGGGTGCTCTCCAAGGTCCTGAAATGTCTCCTGCTTTACCGGGCAGGGCTTGGAACAAACAGTATCTGGGTTCTGACAACACAAGAAGCCATACTCAAGGGTTGAGTGTGGGTTGTTGTTGAACCGTAGGTTGTCATGTTGCCTGAAATCAGCAGCATTAATAAGCCATGGGTTGTTCATCACAAAGGACCTATGAAGCAAACTGATGGCTGTGAACTGTGGATTGTTCACCATGGCTCATTATCTTTTCTACGATCAAAGAACTGGATAGCCCAGTTTTCACCAACAGCCCATACTCAACCCTTGAAGTGCAGGTTATCATGCTACCTGAATCCGGTTGATGAATGTTATGTTATACCCCAGTTCCTCTGGGCCTCGCACCTACTTGGAACACTCTTGGATCTTGTTGCTCGAATCACATAACCCTCCCCCACAGTCCCTCCCTTAGAGTGTCCCTGACCATTCTTTTGCACTCCACTGATTCCACTGCAGATGTAGGACCCACTGCTTCAATGGAGATTTAACATGTCCTAGAAGAAGCCCCCAAATGAGAAGAAGCACTTGTTTTTAGGTTGGGACCAGTCAGCAGAGATCCCTTATGTGAACTCCGCTGGCCTGCCTCATGCCAGAAATGCTCTGCTCATTTCTGGAGGCCCTGGAAATGCTGGATCTTCATTTTGCAGGAGGTGGACACTGCTTGCAGATGGGAATCAGAAGAACCACAGAATTAGCTGAGGAGCTTGCTCCCACTGGATGCTGCCCCTAGCCTCCATCACCGTTTTTCAACACAAACTCCTCTTCCGATCCTCCTGTGGCCCACTCTAGGTTCCCAGGATGTCTCTCTCTCTGATTTTCGTTCCTCTAGCTTGACCACTTTGGCGTCTCAAGTAGGATTGAGAGATCAAAAAGTGAATGCCCCTCTTTGCAACTGCCTTCTCCAGCCTGGCACCCTCTGGGTGTGTGAGACCAAACCTCATCGGCCAGCATGAGTGAGCTGCCAGGGGCCATAGGGAATTTTACCCAACACATCTCAAAGGTTCCAGCCTGGGGTGGTGGTGGAATTAATTAGTTGATCTCTCATGATGTGTCTCCACAGGGGTGATAGGGACCTGCTCATCCCAATTTTCAAGCTCCATTCACTGCTGTTGCACATGGGGCAGGAAAAGAGGAAGCATCAGTTTTGGCCACTGATATTACTTTTCCCCGGGGGATGCTGGTATATTTGGTCCTCCCAGATGCTTTCCTATGGACATTCCCAAAATCTTCTACCACTATTGCAACTTCTTCTCTCAAAGGAAGATTGTCCATGCAGCATTCTTTACCAGTTTACCTAGAACTTGTGCAAAACATAATAATTTGTGAACACTCTTATGCATCTGAGATGCTTTGGGGTGACAGCAGGATATGATTGTTTGTGCAACCATATCCCCAAATCTTCTTTTAAAATGTCTCTTCCCATTCGCCCTTGCTGCCCCTTGTCCCTGGAATGTCTCCCCCAAAATACCCCTTTTCTGTATACTGCTGCTTCTCTCTCCACTTTCCAGTCTTCATTCCAAACTCACCTCAGAGCCTCTGGCCATATCCCAGACCAAGACAACATCTGGATTTGCTCCTATTCACTTCCTGCTGCTTTAATTTTTTCATGTTCCCATTGTCATTGATAGCAGAATGTATATTTAATAGAAGGGTCAGCTGTATGCAAAGTCATTTGATTACACAGCCGAAAAGAGAGAGCTGTGCCATACGATCCGCAGTGGTGCAGAACTGGCGGCTTTTCGTTGTCCATTCTTGCCAGTCCTTGCCACAACTTGACCCACCCGTCAGGTTGCATTAAGTTATTCCCACTGTGAATCTTTTCAAATCCTGTGAAGAGCAGTGGGGCTCATTTCCAAGGCAAGGTGCACAGGGGCATTTGGTTGGGAGTGCAGCTGACAAGCAGCACAGCCAAAATGTCTTGACCTGCTCACTAAACGCTGCCCTTGCTACACTGCAAGCTCCGGTTTAAATAATTTCAGATATGGAGGTATAAGCAGCTAGGGCATAAAGTTGGTTTCTTTTGGAATGTTAAATGAGTGGCTTCACAGGTCAGCTGTCCCCCTTCCCGTATGCAAAGATAAAACTTTTGGATTCCAACATTATGGAAATGAATAGATATCAGAAGAACCTGAGTACTAAAAAGCAGCTATGCATCTGTGTTCACTCCAAGGACAGATATACATAGTACTCACAATCCACAATTAAAGAAGGACCAAGCCTGACCAATCACAGAATGATTTCAGAAAACTATGTGTAAAACTAAGTGTGAAAAGTGGCTTTTAAGATGGATTATATTAAACAATTAGAAGGACTGCAAATTTGAATTTGCACAACCATTGGATTTAGCTTTACGTATTCATTTTTTTTTTTATTCCACTGCCACCTGCCCCCAGAAGCCCAGCATAAGAGAACTGGCTATCTGAAAACTAGTGACATCCCAAATCAGAAGCACCTCATTCTTTTTCTCTTCAAAAAAATTGTTACTCAGCCATAAAGATATTGTCCTAATTCTGCCGTGTTTTTATCCGGCTTTATCTACATGATGCGTTTAAACCACGTCTGTACCAACATCTCCTGTTTTCTCCCAAATAATTCTGGCAAATGAAGGTTGTTATGGATGCTGACAATAGTTAAGAGCTGCTAAGAGATCTCTATCTTCACTCACAGAACTACAGTCCCTAGAATTTCCTGGGAAGAAGGATGAACCTGGCAATATTTGTGGTATGGATGTACTCTCTGTGTGGGTGCCTCAAAGTTATATCTCTTGAGACTTGACCAAAGACCATCAACAGCTAGTTATACTCTGGTGATGTGCTGCAAAAGGCATTAAGGTACCTCAAGAAGTCACGGACGATGGGTAGAGATGACAGTTGCTGTTATGCTGCCCTAGGTTTATTGATGGTTGACACTTCTGTGATGACTTGTCATCAGCAACGCAACCTCACACAGTCCATCACACCCAGCTCTTTTCCACAGAAGCAGGCACACATTCTGTTGTGAGTCAAAGCTGTGCACCCAGAGAATGTGCAAGCCTGGCACCAACACCCAGGACCTCTGGACGGTTGTTGGGGTCTTGTGGCTGCCAGTTAAGCCCACAGAGGAGGGGGTCCCCTGAAGCAGTGTTGGTCTTTTACAAATGGCTAAAACATGGGTCTTCAAATTAAGGCCCACAGGCCGGATCTGGCCCGCCATGCCCTTTTAACCGGCCCGCCCCATAGGTTTTGCACTCGCTGGGCACATGTGCGGCTTGCTCGCAAGGAGGTCATTTTGGAACTGCTTGGAGAACACAAATTTCTCGTGAGCAAGCCGGCACCTTGCCCCACACCCCCCCATCTCTGCCTCCCCTCGCATGGGTGCGCGCCCTGCCCCCACACTGGCCTGCGCCTCCCCGCCGGCACCGCCTTGGCGGCCCACGGCCACCACTGGTACCTGTCAACTGGCCCCCTGTTCAAAAAGTGTGAGGACCCCTGGGCTAAAAAGAGGAAACATGTCACCAAAACAGAGGGCAAGGGAAGAGTGATTTGCATATTATTTGCACATGCTAATCTATATGGCTAGATACACATTTAGATATCATGATTATAAGTTAAATGGAAATGGAGTACATCGCCACAGAGAGTGTCTGCCTGCTCCATCTATTATCCAGATGCTAAGCCAGGAAAGGAAACCATTTGTATGATTCACTAGCTTTAAACCGGAATGGGACAGGACGCCTTTCCAGGAGAGGACCACCCTCTGTAAAAGAGGACAGCAGGCCTGCCTGCTGAAAGAGCAGAGGTCCGTCTGAGGCGATTTTGCCAAGGACCTGCCTCAGTCCGTAATTACTCAAGCTAGAAGATGTGGCCTCCAGTTCAGACGTGAATGGAATGCAGTTGCTGGAGGATTTGGCCAGCAGCTGATG